AGATTTTATTTATTTGACAGAGAGAGACACAGTGAGAGAGGGAACACAAGCAGGGGGAGTGGGAGAGGGAGAAGCAGGCTTCCCGTGGAGCAGGGAGCCCAAGGCGGGGCTCTATCCCAGGACTCTGGGATCATGACCTGAGCCAAAGGCAGACGTTTAACGACTGAGCCACCCAGGCGCCCCTATTCCTTGTTTTTTTAAATAGCTGTGTAGACATACAGTAGTTATTCACTAAAATTCTGTTGAGGGCATTTTTGTTTTGGTCTTTTGCCATTTCAGATTGTGCTGTTAATGGATAGTGTTATGCATATAGTGTTTTTGCTAGTTTATCTTTGGGATATATTCCTGTAGGTGAGATTACTGGGTTGAATGGTAAATGCATAAATGTAGCTCTGTTGGATATTGTCAAATTGCTCTCTATAAGGGCAGGGACATTTCACATCTCTCTCAGTAATGTATGAGAGGTTGTTTCCCTATAGCCTTGCCAACAGAGGATGTTTTTGAAGTTTTGCCAATCTGCTCAGTGAAAAATGGTATCTCAGTGTAGTTTTAAATTTGCATTTCTCTTGTAAGTAAGGTTGAAAAAGCTTACTTTTTTACTTTTACGTTTTGTGTAAAAGGTTACACAAAAGCTTTTGAGTTTGTTTCTGTGAGCTGTCTTCTTATATCTAAACCAATTTTTCTAGAAATTAGTAGTTTATCTCTATTTTTTAGAAACTTCGTATATTAAGTATGTTAACACTGTCTATGACACAAGGTGCAGTGTTTTTTCCCAGTCTGTCGATTGTCTTTTTATTTTGCTTCTGGTGTTTTTTCCATCCAGAAACTGTTTATTGTTATGTAATCAGATTTATCAGTCTTTCTTTATGATTTCTAGTTTTCAGTGTTTTTCTTACTCCCAGCTTGTAAAGGAATTTCCTCATGTTTTTTCTTTTTCTTTTTTAAAATACTTTGTTTATTTGACAGAGAGAGAGACAGTGAGAGAGGGAACACAAGCAGGGGGAGTGGGAGAGGGAGAAGCAGGCTTCCCGCTGAGCAGAGAGCCCGATGTGGGCCTCGATCTCAGGACTCTTGTGATCATGACCAGAGCTGAAGGCAGACAGACGCTTAACCGATTGAGCCACCCAGGCATCCCTTAAATAGTTTCATTTAAAAAAAAAATAAATATGATTCATTTGCAGTTTCTCCTGGTATATGATGTGAAGAATTGGTTCACTTTTGTCTTTTTTTCAAATAGTTATCCCGACATCATTCATTGAAAAGTTGATCTATTCTCCATTGATTTGAGATGCTTCTTTTATTGAATACTAAATTTCCAAGTGTTACTGGATTTATTTCTCTATTTTCTGTTCTGTTCCATTGGCCTTCTATGCATACATGTTTTGGGGACATTGTGAAGAGTTATAATTGAAATTGTCAAGGTTCTTTGGAGCTTTTTTTCTAATGCCAGCTGTGGAGTTATTGCTGCTTCATCTTCTAATACTCATGTCTGTGGTTTGTGAAGGAAATCTTTGTAATCACTGAATTAAATCATCATGCTTTGGAAACATCAAAAACATTAATAGGATAGTGTATTTTGACTCTTAATGTCTCTAAATTTACTTAGTGGATCCGGAATTTCTAGTTCCACAAATTGCCAGTAGAGGATCAAAGTCTTAGTTTCAATGTTAATTAGTATCTAATATCTACTCAAGATTAGATATTACCTATTAGGACTGCCAAACCTGCTTTTGCTAGCGAAGAGAAAGGTTTTGTTTACATTATTCCTTAATGAGTTTCGCCCTATGTACAATAATATTTTTCATATGAAGTAGTATTATTTTCATGTGTATTTAGGAAGATGAAAAGGCAGCTGCTGAGATTTATGAGGAATTTCTTGCCGCTTTTGAAGGAAGTGATGGTAATAAAGTGAAGACATTTGTGCGTGGAGGTGTTGTTAATGCAGCTAAAGGTTAGTGTGAATATTATAGTCCTTGAGCAAACCCCAAAAGTCTTGGTAGAATCATTGTAGGTATTGTAAGATGTTTGGTGGCTTTGAATGTCACATTTCCTTTCTACCAGCACCCTCTAGTGTTGATATTAATTAGCAGCTTAAATGGCCAGATGTGGATTAATCATAAATTGGAGCCAAATAAATTTAAAAAATAGTACCTTTCAACGTTGAATACAGCATAACACTTTGCAAAAATTTTAATATGTTTCATAGTTTTACTATAAAATGACTAGTATTTTGGAGAGTAAGGTGGTAATAGGAATTTAACTTCATATTTTGTCAGTAGTGATATATCTTAGTGCTAAAAGCATTTTACTAATTTATGTTTATTTTCAAATAAAAAATCAAATAATATGAAATTATTTTTGAAAATTAGTTTTGAAACTTACTATTTTAAATTTCAGAAGAACATGAAACAGATGAAAAAAGAGGTAAAATTTATAAGCCATCTTCAAGATTTGCAGATCAGAAAAATCCTCCAAATCAGTCATCCAATGAAAGACCACCATCTCTTCTTGTGATAGAAACCAAAAAACCTGTAAGTCATACCCAAATAAGTGACTTTTTATGTTCAGAGATGATACTGCCAATGATATTTCACTACTTCCACTGTAAGCAGGACTTTGGTTTCTTGTTTTTAATTATTTTGGGAGTAGATGTTGAGTTTTGGTGTTTAATTTATAATTAGAGTAGGACATGTAGACAGTGTTTTTTTTATGTTCTTTGAGCAATGAACCTTTGGTGGTGTTATATTCATAGTATACTACAAGTAAAAAGTTGACTATATTTTAGGTATAAATATAAAATAATGGGATTGTCTTTTTAAGCAATTCTGAACTGAGGTATTTAAATAATATCAGCATGTGTAGTGGCAGTTACCTTGGAAGACTATATGTATTCCAGTAATGTATCTTTTGCCTAGAACATTTTTGGAATTAATTTGGAATTACTGTCAACTAGTGGTACTTTCTTTTAAATATTCTCAGTGTTAGAAAATTTATTTTTTGATGGGATTTTTCATGGGGTTGGAAGATAGATGTGGGTCATGTCATTTGGAGCCACACTTGGTGAAGAAGTAGGATTACACTGAACGGTGAGACTGACTTTTCTTGTGTGACTTTTAAAATAGCTCTGAAAGCAATGCAATGGAAAAAAGCAGTTTTATTGAGATGTAATTCACATACCATAAAATTTACTCTTTTAAAGTACACAATTAGTTTTTAAAATGTATTCACAGTTATGCAACAATCACTAATCTCTAATTTCAGAACATTTTTATTACCCCAAAAAGAAACCTGACACCTACTTTTAGTCATCCCCTAGCCCTGGCAACCACTAATCTACTTTTTGTCTGTTTGGATTTGCCTGTTTAGGACATTTCATGCAGATGGAATCATACAACATGTGGCCTTTTGTTTCTGGCTTCTTCACTTAGCATAATATTTCAAGGTTCATCTGTATTCCAGCACATACTAATACTTCATTCTTTTTTATAGTTGAATAATATTCTATTTTATGGGTATAGCACATACTGTTTATCCATCTATTACTTGATATTTGGGTTGTCTCCACTTTTTAGCCATTATGAGTAGTGTTGCTACACATTTGTGCGTAGGCTTTTTTTGTGGACTTGTGCATTCAGTTCTCTCATATATACCTAGAAGTGGAATTGCTGGGTCATATGGCAACTATTTGTTTAACCTTTTGAGAAACTGCCAAAACTCTTTTCTAGATTAGCTGTACCATTTTACAGTCCCATCAGCATTGTATGAGGGTTCTAATTTTAACACGTTTTTACCAACACTTGTTAAAATTGTCTTTTTTTTTTCTTTTAGATTTATTTATTTTTAGGGCGACAAAAAGAGAGAGAGAGAGCATGAGCAGGGGGAGAGACAGAGGGAGAGAGAGAGAATCCTCAAGCAGACTCCCAGTTGAGTGTGGAGCCCAACATGGGGCTTGATCCCAGGACCCTGGGATCATGACCTGAGCCGAAGGCAGTCGCTTAACCAACTGAGCCACCCAGGCGCCCTGTTTTGTTTTTTTTTTTTTTTAAAGATTTTATATATTTATTTGACAGAGA